AGTACAACCCATCGGTGCTTGCCGCTTCCGCACTTGTCGCTTCTTCTCTGAATGTATGAGGTCTTTCATTCGCACTTCGGCAATTGCCTTCGTGGTTAGATCGCGCCATGCACGTCGATTCCCATGACCTGCAATAAAGATTAGAACGTGAGAGGCTCACTTTGATCATGTGGTGGTAAAGTAACTTTGGTTTGCTTACATGCCGCTTCCCAATACTCAGCTGACCATATAAGAGTTGTTTCGGTATCCGCGTCGAATCCATACGGCTCACATGACCGAGCCACCTCAGGCGTCTGAACAAAAGTATGCAGTCCACTGCATACATCCCACTTCGGCGCAACGCTTCCGTGTCTGAAACTCTGGCGCCCCAACCGATGCGCAAAATTCGTCGCAGACACTGCTGATGGAACCGCTCGAGATATCGCACATCCCGCCGGTACGTCGTCCACGTTTCACTGCCGTATAGAAGAACGGACAGCACCATGGATTTGTACACCATCAGCTTTGTGCCAATGCTAAGCTGATGGTTGTTCCACACTCGGTACTCAAGCTTCCCGAATGTCGCTGCTGCCTTCGACACGCGAATACGCAACTCAACGTGTAGCCGCTGGTCAGTCGACATCACACTCCCAAGGTAGCAGAAGCGGGAGGTGGTTTCCAATACTTCAGCACCAATGCTGATTCGCGGCAATATTGAAGATTGCACTTCCGGTGAAGGCTGAAAGAGACATACGGTTTTGCTTGTGTTGATGGTGAGCCCAAATTTTGCCGCTGTTGAAGCCAGAGCACTAGTCATGTGCTGCAACTCATCCGCACTGTGTGAAAACAACGCACAGTCGTCAGCAAACAGCAACATACGGGCAGTTGTCTCACAGACTAGAGTTCTAGCACCGAAACAACGGATGTTCAGCAACGCACCATCAATTCGGTGCTCCACACGAACACCGTAAGCACAAGCGGCATCAAAAGCACAAAACACCATTGCATGAAGATAAATATTAAACAGGGCAGGAGCTAAGACACAACCTTGCTTCACACCAGTGACAACTGCAAAGTCATCCGAGGTCTCTCCACTCAGCTGCACCCTCGCTCGCATACCACTTTGCAGATATGCAGTTAAACTTACCAACTTAGGCGGGCGACCAAACTTACCCAACACCAGCCACAATGCCTCGCGGTTTACCGTATCAGATGCTTTGGTGGAATCAACAAAAAGCGAGTACAATGGCTGGTGTCGTTCTCTGCACTTGCAACTGACGAGCCGCAAACACCATGTCTATAGTGCTGCGACCCGAACGGAATCCACATTGCTCTTCCGCCACGTTAGGTTCCACAACCTGACCGAGGGGGCGGTTGACCAGGATTCGGGCAATCGCCCTGCCCACACAACTCAGCAAGTTGATGCCACGATAATTCGTGCAACATTGCTTGCTCCCTTTGCCTCTGTACAGTGGTAGCATAAGGGCATCCTTCAGCTCAGGAGGCACCTCCTCCTCAATCCGTTCACGTTGCACCAAGTGGTGCAGCGCAGTCAACAACGCGGTTCCGCCGTGTTTCAATACTTCCGGCGGGATCCCGTCGGCTATTGCACATTTGCCGTTTCGCAGCTGAGCAAGTGCTCTTTGCGTCTCATCCAGTGTCGGCGTATCCGCCAGATTCGCCTTCACATCGTGCTGCTTCAGGCTGTTCAATGTAGGCCGGTCGATCTCTGAACGGTTGTTCAAGAGACAACCAAATTGTTTCCGCCAGACCTGCATTATGTCCGCAGTCTGAGTGCAGGTAGCACCTGAACTACCATCGATCAGTGTCCTCAGAGGCTCCAATCTCGGTCCATACACCGCCTTCAAGGAGTCAAAGAATGCCTTGTGTTGGCGGCGTTCGGCGTAGCATTCCATCTACTTCGCCGTCTCCGTCCACCATGCATTTTTTATGCGACGGAGCTCTCGGGTCAGTCGCCGTCGAAGTTTGCGAAACTGACTATTTTTCCCCAAGTCACTGGGGTCTGCGACATGTGCAGCAAATGCTGCATTCTTCTCTGCCACCAATGCGTCAATCGTCACATTGTTGTCATCAAACCAATCAGGCCGCTTCCAGTTTGTGCGACCGATGGTCTCCTCGGCAGCAGCTGTCACCTGGTCGCGAATGTGGTGCCACAGGTCGCCCACTGTGGCTATGCAGTCCACATCACCACACAGGCGTGCAGCCATCGCCTTCTCCAGCTCAGTATGTTTCATCACAGTACCGAGGGAGAGAATGTTAAATTTACGCCGATTCACGGTGGGAGTGCAATACATAGATTTACGAAAATATATGTATAGTTTGGTCCACACCAACTTGTGATCAGTGCCACACTCAGCTCCACGCAGTACACGTGTCATGCTCACTTCACGCATTTCACGCTGACGTACGATGACATAGTCGAGCAGGTGGGTGTGACCACTCCATGGGTGCGTTCAGGTTGCCATATCATTCGCACTCAGTGCAAACCGAGTGTTCGTGATCGTCAGGCTGTGAGTGGCACACAGTGAGAGCAGCCTGTCGCCGTTCGCATTCGCTGAACCACTGCCATGTGGAGCGATAACATCTGTCCACACCGATGCATCACGCCCAACGCGAGTGTTGAAACCACCTAGCAGAAATAGTCGGTCGCTCCTCGGCACAGACCGTATCACGGAGGATAGCTTGGTGTAGAATTGATCACGCGTATCATCAGGATAACACATGGTCGGACCGTACGTGCTTATAAAAGTAGCAAACTTACCTCTTCCGAGTCGTAGGCGAACGGTCATCAGTCGCGCGCTGATGCCTGTTGGTTCACCCACCAGCTAGCCACGGAGGCGATCGGATATTGCAAATCCGACCCCATGTTCATGTGGAGCTGAGGCGACGTTGCCCACCCAGTAGAATGTGTAGCCAGCACCTGCTTCATGCAACTTGCCTTGCTCAGCGAGCCGGGTTTCACTGAGCGCCGCAATATCGATGTTGTAGCGCGCCAGCTCCATCGCGACGAGTGCAGTGCGTCGCTCCGGGCGCTCGCTGGAGTTCCGGTTCAGTAGTGTGCGCACGTTCCAGCATCCGATGCAGAGTGCTTTACGCGCAGGGATACGATTGCATTGGTGGGAAATCGCACGCGAGGTGGTCGTTGTGCTTCGGAGGTTTGCTTGAGGGACTCCACCCTTTGCCTTTGGCTCAATAGCCTGACCCACAAGGCAGTGGGGAGCAGATCCAACTCGGGAATGTGATTGCAGGGACAGATGGGGATCTGCTTGACGGCCGTCACACGCAGCCTTTGAGGTACTGGAACATTTCTTTTATGTTTTGCGATCGTGGTAGGATGCGCACCTGCTACCACGGCCAGCCGCAGGTGGGTTTTGGCAGGTTTGCACCAATTTGACCAGGGGCTGCCTGGCTTGAGGCGGGCAGTCGCAAACCATTGAACACCCGGAGGTGTCCTCCCACCGTCAGAGACAATGCGTGGTGCTCGTGCTCTACGCCAATCGAGCTGTGAGCCTATAACCCGTAGACCTGTTGTCTCCCATGGCTAGGTTTTACGGGAAAAGGGCCTCCGACCACTTTGTGACCACCGAAGAGGGTGGACTAGGATAATGCCAGAGCGCCCACACCTGGTGGGAGAACGACTCGGGTCCTCAGCCAAAGCCTTCGATTAAATGAACACTCGAAAGGCAGCGGGTCTAGCACATGGTCAGTTAGCCGACTCATGCGGATTGGTGTCCTGGATCTTAGCAGGGAGAAGGGCGAAACCCAACTCCACCCAGCGGTCGCCACGTGCAGGCGCCCAGGACATGAGGCTATGGCGCGACAGTAGCAGCAGCGGGTAGACCATCTGTCAGGATCTAGCCACCACCATCCTCAGCGCACCATAGGCTCTCCCGCCATATATATATATATATGGTTGGCGGCATCCGGTTTCGGATTTGCCTGTCACTGTGGCAAGCCACAGGACGCCTGCGCCTACAGAGGGACCATGGATGGCTTTCGCTGCACCACCCACAGCTCCAACCACACACCCCATATCCAGTGTAAACCCGAAGGAATAAGACCGGGAGGCATGCGGATGGGAGCCACGTTTCATCAACGGAGCCGGCCCACACTCCTTCACAGGCAAACACAAGCAAGCTGTATTTGGGGAATCAACCGCACACAAGGCGGTGGCTGGACCGTAGTCCGCTCCATACTGAGTGCATGGAACCACTCTTCGAGCCTAGCACGGCCACAAGGACCGTGCACCCCGTCCCCTCCAGCAACGACCAACTGTCTCCTGGAGCCAGTATGGACGAGGTAGTGGGTAATAGACAGGTAGGCACCTTGTCAACATGCACATCAAACGCAGCCACACCGGGGATATCAAACAACAGCCAAATATATATACATATATATATATACATATATATATATAGTTGTTGTTTCTCATGTCCTTCTTTCATCCATTTTTATCCACCCAATTGCTCGTCCTACCAGATGGTCACCGTCCATGACCCTTCATTTTTAACCACTGTCGACTTACAACCTATCGCCTTTTATGTTAATCACCGCGTCCACCTCGTTTCCATCCCGCCAGCATTTTTGTTGCCATTACAAAAGTAAACCAGCGGGCAATCTATTTCCTGATATAATATGCTGTATCTTTGTGCACGCTGTCATCCGCGTGGCCACTGCTTATTCGGTGACCACCTAATTCCCACTGGCTGTCCCCAGCTGCACGCATAATTGTCCGTCTACTGCGCAACCACTCATTGATTGAACTAGTCTAGAGAACGCGGTCGATACGCTGTGTAAGTGCCTGTTCAAATCTACGTTGCATTCCCTGCTTCAGCTACAAACCGTTGTTTCGTCTCCACTGTTACTGGTAGTTTCACACGCGCTCAAGCATGACACATACAAGGCTTTATTTCTCGTGATTTATTTTAACAACTTCAACACATTTCTATCTGTGTTCTGACAAACACATCTGTCTATTCCACGTATTAACTTCACTGTAGGACTTATCAAAGTCTGCTCCACCGGACTATCCAGGCGAGCCTGATCAACCGAGCCCAGAAACAATGGCCGAGCTCCTTTACAATGATCGGGTTGCAATCGATGAGGCCACTTCGATGCTACGTGCTGCAAGCCTTCGTGACTCCATGAACCACGGTCCTCAGCTACTAACTGGTACAGCTGCCTCAACCGCGATTCCTGAGCATGCCAAACGGGAACTGCGTAAGCCGCGACCAGCAAGTACCGGCCACCGGAGTCCAGAGTCAGTGAACATGAGTGATTTCGTCGTGGATCTACGGAACGAAACCTCCTCACCCTTTGCGATCACTGGCCGTCGCGCATTCCGTTTGTCTCCTCGGCCTATGCAGGATACAGAACCCAAAGTTCCGACTGTGTTTCGATGGAATGGCGGTGGTACGGATATTTATATTAGTGGAACATTCAACAACTGGCAGAAGCGAATACCGATGGTTAAGCGGTTAGTTTACTGACCTTTACACCTGCTTCACTAACCTCATGGGGTTGTCATTGTTAGTCCATCTCCATCTAATCGTGCTGTTTTCTCTTATTTTGGGGCTATTCTAAAACAACATTGATCACCATAACACCGGCGCGAATTGTTTCTGTGTCACTGACGCAAATTCACCCAGTGATGTAAATCCTCATCGCTTGTAACCACCTGTTTATCACTATCGTCACAGTCAGCGACTTGTTAATCTTTTTGTACTTTTCTTTTCCTGCCGTACAACCATACGCGGAAAGACAACCCTACTGATAAGAACTAGAATGAGTCGATCACTAGTTCCAAGTATCCCGCACCTGTGTTTTGATCTTGAGATCAACCGTTCGAATCCGCGTAGATACTAGCTCCCTCGCGCGACTGCCGATGATCGCGTGGTAACACCTCGGTACAGTGTGCTGGTGTACTGGTGTACTGTTGATGCTTTCTTTGTCTTATTGAGATAAGAAGAGTAGCTGGTTGGAGGGTCCTTTTAAAGTACACAAGTGGATGGATTGCGATCCGCAGTCTCAATGTGGACCACGATTCCCATTAAACGCAACGTTGATCATTCCATCTGTAAGATTGCAGCTGAAGCAGATGATAATTGAGTTTTGCCCGCCCGAAAACACTGAGGCATTTCGATCCAAATTGATCTCACCAGATAAAGACTACAGGCATCGAACCCGGGACCATTGGGATATTAGTTGTGACCGCTACCTCTAAGGTCATTCGTGTTGAGTAGCCTCATTCAATATGAAGTAGCGTCATCATCAACAGCAGTACATCAGCCATTTGAACTGATACTTCGCTGCTATACAACCCTAACGACCTACGGAAGGGGAGAAAGAAGGAGGATTTAACGGAAAACCTTAATGCCCTAAGCAAACCTTCAGGGTCAAGACGCCTGCATCTTTTGTTAACAACATACCGTTACAAATAGCTGGCTATTGTACAAAGGTGGCATCAGCGAGACAGCTTCCTTGCAATTTTCATTGACTCGCGTCCTGTTTAGTCATTATTACCCCGTAGATATCTCAGCATCAAACACTTTAAGCAGGCAGTCCGGCTAGGAGACGGCAGCTGACGCGCCACTAGTGTCAACTGCGAGCCATGTCCTGCAAAGTCTCGAGTCAAGCACAAGGCAGCTCACATCGACTCCAGCCTGGAAGGCGAGACTCACCGAGTTTGGTCGTCAGTGACTTCATTACCCACCGGCAAGTCAACATTTGTCCACCGCAAGTTTTGCGCACCCTACTTTTGGCAAACAAAACAGGGCCCTTCTAGGTAAGCGGTGACCAGGCATACGTAATACATGCCCAGGCCAACGCAACTTATTTACTGCTATCTGTTGATCTAAGGAACTGGCTTGCTTATCACTTCCGAGTACTCGCCTACGCACATCATCGTTGCGGAAACGCTGGTGCCATCCGACACCGGCAATTCTCCGCAGATAATGATACTCAGAGACTTGAATACACTTCCGATCGGAGGGACCGTCTCACTCCCATAGAGCTGGTCAGCCCTCAATATGGCTTTGTAAACGCGGCCTATCAAACAGAGGAAAGCGTCTTTCTATGGTATAATCAAGATCAACTAACTTTTCACCAGGCAACACCTGAACGCCTGCATCGGACGGTTCCGCAAGGGAACACTCCATGATGGAGTCCACGACTAAATTGAACAAAAATGGGGATTTCGGATAGCACTGACGAACGCTACTTTTCTCGACAATTCTCCGTAGTTCCTGCCGCTGCCTGTAGTGTTGGAGTATAGAGCACGTGAATTGTTCCCCTATTTCATGTGATTACCTTTAGGTGCAGGCATTTCGAACAAAATGCATCGATTGACTGAATCGAACGCACTCTTGAAGTCGTGGAACACAGCTATTGTCCGTCCGCGGGATACGTAGCGCTGCTCCAGCACTTGTCGCAGAGTGAATATATCGTCTATGTAGCCCTGTCCTGGGCGGAAACCTGCTTGCTCTTCCTTACTCAGGGACTACCGTTCTGCAGTGAGGCGACGAACGAGAATTGAGACCAGTAATTATGTCACAACTAGCGTGGTTAGCACAGTCGGTGCGACTGTCCTTCGTGTATATTGCCACTACAATCGATTTACTCCAGTTGGCCGGGACGATCTCTTCAGTGTTTTGCAAAGGACCTCACCTCCATCCTTAACTAGTGCAGGTGAGAGGGAATCCGGGTCAGCGTCACGAAAACTGTTGCGGGCTGTGATCGCGTTTCGGATAGCAGCCTCTGATGGAGCTTCTAAACTAACCGTCCTTGACTCAGCCTGCCTCATCTGAGTAGCAACGGGTCCGGGTGCCGGGAGTTAACTGGACAGCTCCAACCACACACTCTATATCCAGTGTACATATATACGTACACACAAGTCCATTATGCTACTGGTTAATTTGCTATATTTTTATGCAAATACCAACCTTACTCTTTTACATTCTCATGATGGTGCCTTCGCATGCATACCTCGCGCTGCTGGGAATAAAGCATTTATTTATTTATTTCTCTCAGAGTGCGAACCTTGAACATCGCCAGGGAAACGGGGCAGTGTGACCTTATAAGGGATTGTTGCCTATACGCGTCCAGTGGGTGTTGCAGGAAGGTAGCTACAGTTGGTTCGACTCCAGTGACATCACGGCTGCTGTCAATTGAGCTGGGAATTACAGAAGGAAACTTACTAATGGGAATTGGGAGTGAGTAAGAGAAACAGGTGGAAAAGAATGATGGAAGTCTCCAGCAGTAGCATGTTTTCGCTTATCCGCCCTGCTGTATGCAGCAGAGAAAACGATCATTGCTATTCTGCACGACGGCAGATGTAGGATGTAGTTAGAGTTTTAGGAAATTGTCATGATTGTATGTGGACTGAGATACCGCCAGGGCGCCCAGACCTGGACAGCAGGACGATTAGGGTCCCCAACCTGCACGACCAGGTAACCTCTAACCATTGACCAACCTGGTAGGAGTAGCTCTCAAGATTCCAACGGGCACCATCCAATATAGCTCAATGAATCAAATAGGTACGCAAACTGTCACACCACATTAAAGTCCAGTCTCTTTGTGATGGTATCAAGTTGCAAGCACCTGGTCACAGATAGCCAGTGAACTTGCGGAGACACGGTGGCTTCAGTGAGACAGCTTCATTAGGTTTTCAGTGTCTTACCTTATGAACCACCTTACACACAGCCTGGATAGAGGACATCAGCAAACATGTCACTAGTTCCAGTTACGAGTCATGTCTTGCCAACTTTCGAGCTAAGCACAAGGGGGGACGTCACAATAACAGCAATCTAGGGTGCGTAACTAAGCAATTCTCCCTGTCTAGTGATTAAATATCTGTTTTCTGTCTCCAAGCCTTTGGTTAATCTCCTCGGGTCTTGCGCTATTTGTAGCCTAATCGATCGGTCGTTATCAACCCAGCTTCGACCTGTCTTAGGGACAAGCCAGAATATGAGAAATCTATGGGCTAGATCTACGTTTACTGTTGAAACGTACACTCCTTCTAGCTACAAGGCGCCACAGAAAGGTTCTAGCTAGGGGAAGAAGTATGGCTGCAGACATCTCGAGCACTCTTCGAGGCCGACAACTGGAAGCGCACGAAGTGCACTCCGTCTGCTTGACTCAGGCAAACGTAGTCAACGTTACAACACGCAAATTTTCTACTCTGCCTATGTACAAGATGAAACTGTACCTGAACCAACGGGGAATCTCCAGGTCTCTGCATATTCAACACCGGATAAACAATCCAGACCATTCTCAGTAAACAGTGAATGTGCACGTGACGAATGTGTATATAACATGTGTCGGAAACAACGCATCACCATCTTCAATCTTTTTATCAATATACCGATGAAAGGCACGCACGCCTGTGCCACTCTGTGATTCGATGTTAGCAGCCTCAGCCGAATTTGCAACTCCATCACAGCTGCGAGGTGTTAGATTTTTGCACGTGCTATGTGGTGCCACAATCGCATCTCACTTACATTTTCAGCTTGCGTTTGCACCATGTGCACGAGATACCACGGGCGCACCTGACAAAGCCAACGCCTGAGCGCATCTGTGATAAGGCCAACGCGAGTTTCGTTTGCTCCAACGGTGCTGAGCGGTTCATTTCCTTTTCCTGTGCCGTAAACAAGGCGTCGAATACGCTGGTTTCTCACGCGGTGTTCCCATCACATGTGAGCTAAATTGCGAACATACCGGTGGTCGAACGTAACTAGCCTTGTCTGCTTATCTAAAGTGCCAGGTTTCAGCCGTACGGCTGCATTGTACGCTCTATCCTTTAGGTCAAGGGTGATGTCACGCCGGCACCATAAGTGGTGAAGGTCAGCAAAAGCACCTCCTGCTTTTGCTATACGGTTCGTCATCTCATCTTTAATTCCACGGGCGCTGATTCAACTTCCCAGGTAGTTGAATTTTTGAACGACTTCTAGCCGATCCCCACCAAGAGTCATCGCAGGAGGCAGTCCAGGCCAACATTGGGGAAAAGCTTTACACTTTGGGGTGCAATACCTAGCCCGGAAACGGCTGACAACCAGTGCTAATCTGTCCAGTGCCGTTTGGCACGAACCTGAACTGTTACATATGAGGGCAATATCGTCTGCATACTCCAAGTCAAAAAGTCATTCTCCTGGGAGCAACTCCACATCATCTAAGTCGTGTCCTGAGAACGCGATCTCCATGCATGCATCAACTTTTCATCTAGGATTTTAACTAATTCCTCCTGCTCTTTACATACTAACCTAGTCAGCAGTCTATCTACTTCCATACGTTAGAAATTTAACGTTTTATAGTCTCTTTCCTCGTCGTATCGAAACTCCATTCTACCTTATGGATCATGCTTACCCATCAGAAATGTAACCTATAATTTGAGTAGATGCCTGATAAGATTGTCACTGGCACGGTTGGAGTACGCCTACGGTAACGGCTTGTAACGCTGGCCAATCCAACGGGTTTGCGCTG